TTTTTTTTTAATGTGGTGCTGAGGATCGAACTCAGTGCCTTAGATTTTCAAGGCAAGCACTTTACCACTGAGCTATAGCCCCAGCCCCAGACATTTAGTTCAAAGTTTTAAAAGAATCTATGAAATAATTACCCTTGGATTAAAATGAGATCAGATCTTCAGTTAAATATTACATCTTCTTTGATTTTAACTCTTGGTAAAAGATAGATTAAATATGCTCAAACTCATTTTATATATAAAGTATATGTTAGAGCAGCATCTACATATCTTTGTGTCTTCTATTGTAGCTTTTATATACATATAATAGTTGTATATCTGAATCTGTCTATATATCCACATTCTACTGAGAATTTAAACTCTTTCCTATAGTACATATTAGATACAGCCATCTAATATCTAAATAAAATACTTGAGTTCAAAGTATTTCTTAATCACCCACAACATTAAATCATGTGGTAATAAATATAAATAAAAATTTCAACAATATTTTACTCCTCTCCTCAAGCAGCCTATTGAGTGAGTAGAGACTCTAAACAGATCATTTCAACAAGGTCTTAAACTATTCCAATAGAGGAATTCCCCGAGGTTTATCGACTCAGAGAAGGGCAATCAAAGTGGTCAGAACTAACGTTGTGGAGAAAGTAATATTTTTGTTTACTCTCAAAAGATGTTGAAGTGTAAATATTAGATATCTGAGGACACACAGTTTTTCAGATAATGCTACTTAGTATTGATTGTTGCTAATACCATTAAAAAAATTACATGTGTTTAAATTTCTGTTAAATATACTAATTCAAATCAAATGGTCACATTGAAGATCCTAGGTAAAATCACTGTAATGGAATAAAATAAAGCATAAACTGAAATCAAGGACTTCAAATTTTATAGCATACATTGGAAAAATTGTAAAAGAGAAAAAAATTTTAGAACATAAGAAATTGATATTATTTACAATTATGTAAAAGTTTTGAGAAATGACATTAATCACTACAAAAACTAATTTAAAACATTGTGTAA